ATATATGTTGAAAGAGTAGAAATAACCAAAATTGTTGGATCAATGGTAAAAAATAGATTTTTCTTCCAAATGCTGATTTTTGATTATAACCATTGATGGTAATAAATAGAATGTTGTTTCAAATCTATTAAAACTTATTTTGGACTTTTTAGAATCTCGATGATTAATCTCGATGATTTTAGTAAAAAATCGGAAATTAATATTTTTGCATCAACGTAAAATCCAGTGTATCTGAAAGAAATTTGATCATCTGGAACAAGATTCATCAGCAAGTGCATTTTAGCCTGCAAACGAAAAATCTCACTCATCGTCCAAAAACGTGTTCATCTGTCTTCGCATCCTTTGTCATAAGGTTTGCAAATAAACTTTTTTATAAGTATTATATAACTTCATCTATTTAACTTCATCTATTTATTTTCAGGTTATAATTCACAGGTTTTCACAAGTTACAAGACTTGCATTTTATATCCTATGTAATAATATCCGCATTCCTAAAGGCATATATAACTCTTTACATTTTTATATCTTGTATTCATAAGTTATAAAGCATTCCATATAGTGAAAGAAATCTTTCTATTAACATCCATATTTTCATAAACGTACAAACCACAAATTAAATGTGCAAGAGGAAGATTTGCACGACACGATTGGAACCTCATGGTCACGAAATGTCAAATTTTCAATCTCTTGGCAACGTTTCTGTCTGGCTGTTCTCCATCATGGCGATCGTTCGCGCGAAATGCATTTGCTGTCATCGTCCACGTATTTATATATAACGTAGTATTTTCAATTTGTTGCTCGACAACGATACGTCACCGCTTTAAATATTACCAGAGATAAGAACAAGAGATAAGAAGAGAGATAAGAGAATACGTGTGTAATATCGGTCAAAGGTTACAACAATGGCGGAACAAGCACGTGACGACTGCAACATAACCTAACTACGCCCATGTATATCGAATAGAGAGATGAGATTCTAACGATCATTTTTTACACGCGTTTTACACTCGATTTCAACTGCGATAAATCAGCAAAAATGACATTGTCGACTCTCGATCAAAGTGTTGTCCATCTTCGACAGCATTCGAGACGAATTCACGCGACAAACGACGCGTCGTTGGAATAATGTATGCACGGATCGACATTTTTTTTGCAAAAATAATGATGAATGATACGTTTCGTTACACGGCGGATCTCGTAGGCGCGTTTATTTTAAGCGAAACGCATTTAGCGAATGCATCGACGACATCGAGGCAAAATTTTCATCTGTTGGATATATGGGATGGGTTAAAAACGACACTTAGGCTGATGACGTGCCTCGCGCTAAATGCTCTCAGCTGAGAAATTTCATTTTATGCGAGCCGTCAAACCGATACTTTCAGGTTAAAACGAAGATCCAATAAATAGACGTTCATTACGGGGGATTTATGAAATTACGATGGACATCTCGTTACTCAAAATAAGGTGGAGGATATTGAAGGGAAAAAATGTGATTCGAACGGTTAACAGCACGGTGGAAATCTTAAATGAAATCTCTCCTTTGAGGAGTACGAGATAATGGGTTGAAAGGATGAGATTACGATAAGAGATCTCTCGGTGAATTAAAGTAATTTGAAATTGGTCCATATAATCCGTCAGTTCTTAAAATTGACCTCGATGCGTGCCTTTCGCTAGCAATCGCTAAGCAATCAATGCTTATTTTGGCATTTTATACGTGAAAAAGTTTTAAAATAAAAAATTTTATTAATCTTTTAATTTTGATAATAATAGTTATAGATTTATTTCTTGAAATTAAATAATTTAAACGATACGTTATAGGGAAAAAAATATCTTTTGGCTTATATTCAATGCAGATAATATTCAAATGGCATCCACTACGATTTACCAGGCAGCAAATAAATGATCGTTTAGTTTTTGTTTTACAGTATTTTATATTTAAAGAAATTCATTTTTTTTTTCACCATTTTCAAATTTCAATATTATTTTAATTTTTAGAAAAAGCTTATAGTACATTCAATGATACATTCAATGATAATTATCGACATTTATCTTAATATTTTCAAATAATAAGGCATAAAAAAATTATACATCTATTAATAGGTGAAGGTGACCTTAAGAACTTGAAAAAAAAAAGAAAGAAATATAGACGATCTATTATAATCATTTTAAATTTTAACCCTTTCAAGCTTAGTTGGACACAGATTATGCGATTCATTTAATATATAAACTATAAAAATCTCTTAAGAGAGAATCTTCATCGATATTCCTATTTTTATTAGTAGCCATTTAATAACGTTTACGCAAATAAATAATAGATTTTCAAGCAGAAGATCATGGAACCATTTTGGCAATAAACTCGTGTCGATCAATTTTCAGACAACTCGCGATATGTAGAAGCCAGATTCTCCAAATTTTCGAATCAAGGAAACGTCACTCAAACATAGTATTAAATGTTGGTTAAGACAAATGTTGATGCAAAGCAAATTTGATTATGATGAATCGAGATTTGGATACGAAAATATACAAACTCGAGTATTATTGGTCGCATATAAATATAATGGTAATATGACATTTATGAAGAAGAAATATTTTTAGACAATACTACTACAACTTTAGCAACTAATATGAGTTTACAAAGAAAGATGTTCTTCATCCTGAATCCGATTGCGAATGATTTCGAAATCGTAAAAAGCTCGTTGAAAAACAATCCAACTATTACACAGGCCGAGGGCGTTATTTATTTCCATTATAATGATTGGCACCTTGCGAGACGATTCGATTCCCATTGAGATTCGAGATTTCTCCTTGAATGCACCACGAAAAACGACACAATGCATTAAGTAATCTTCGCCTATTTAACAAATGATTTAAATTTTGTGATAAAATTGCTTTGAAAATTCTATTTTTGATCGTACCAATGGTACGAATATGTAGATTAGATTTAGGAGATAAAAATTCTGGTATTTTTTTTTTTTTTAATCTGAAAAACGTGAAACGAAAAAAAAGGAATTGATAATTCTAATTAAAAAAATTAATAATTAAAACATTTGATTATACAGATTTATATTATAATTTATAGTGAGTTCTATTCTTTTTTCTTCTCTTTCTTCTCTTCCTTTTTTTCAGAGCTCACGTATCACGTGATTAATAAATATTTCTATTCTTACAGACGTATTACAAATTTCCATGAATAAACCGACAATAAATCGAATAAACAACAATTTACAAGAAATAATATCTGTTCGTTAAAAAATTAAGCGTCAACATTGTAAGAGAGGGTAATTTTTATATTTATATTTTTCAATATCTACGTGTAACGATCAAAATTATGAGAAAAAATGACGGAAAAATTACACGCAATCCCGAGTAATTTCGACATCAATCGTACGTCATTTTTGGCCGAGCAATAATTGGTACCGGTGGAATGTATTATTACACCGCGATTCGTGGCGAAAGTTGCGGCCTTATCCTTTTTGCGCTCTGCATACCAAAATTATTCTTTTGCTTTTCGAACGATTTCCATTCTATATCAAAAGCGTCCCAATCGTTTCATTTTTCGATCCGAAAAATATTTTCTCAGGCAATTTTTCCTATTGTATTTTCCCTACATGTATATTATTATTTTTTACATGAAAATTTTCAAGAAAGAAAAGAATTAAATTTTATTGTAAAAATATAAAAATACAGTGGAGCGATATGCGACAGAAATAATTTTGATGACGCAAATGATGGAGTGATTTTACAAGTGCGAAAGATTGTTTGTTTTCTGCTTCTTCCAAGCCGCGAGTGTCTACTTAATAAACGCCCGCGAAAAGAACGAGCACTTCGAGATCTAAAAATACGAAAGCTCCAGAACGAGTCGTCGTGGTCCCGAAAACGATATTGCGACAATATTATCGCGAATACATACGTTAAGCTGTGACCTCGTTGAAAAAACAACGAGGAACTTTTCGTTTGTTTGTGAAAAATTTATTGGAAGAAAATTTGAAAAATTCTTAATTTTCACACGAAAATTCACAATTCATCGTTTGAAGATAAATAAACCTCCACAAGGCTATATCAAAGCTATTACAATTGAATAAAATAAAATTAAATTAATTTAAGAAAAAAATATCTTAAAATTTAATATATGTTGAACTTCTTTGGAATATAAGCAAACAACAAAAGCGAGAACGTTTAAAGCGACATGCAGAAAATGTGGGAATTTGTACGATTGACGGCGACAAGGTCGAAGCAAACAACGCCGACGTTGTTCACGGTCCTCGATAAATAACACGGATTCACGATGCAAGACGACGAGAGTATCGGGTTTCAACGAACCAGGAAAGAGCGGGTTTATTGGATAAAAATAAACGAAGATACCGTGGAAGAAATAGATGGGTTAACGCCGCAGAATAGTGACACTATTTTGGATGTTAGAATTAGCAACGATTACGAGCTAATTTATTAATTATTAAAGAGGTTCGATTATTGGAAAGGAATAAATTGGAAAAAAGTTTATTTATTACGTATGGAAATCACGATATATTTAAATCATGATTCGTTGAGAACAATATGATTTATTATGAAATTTATTTTATGGAATTTGACCTCGCATTCTCTCATGACTCTGGTATGCAATCTTTGATCTCAAGGATGACAATAATTCAATTGCTAATGAACAAGAGATATCAATATATTATTAATTGGCTATTTTAACTCTTGAATGCGTATTTTCATAATTGGATATAAAAAATTAAAGAAATTTAAATATAAAAATATAGAAATCGAGAAGAATCGACTCTCAAGAGTATTACATACATTTATTTATGCTATAAATATGAGAAACAAAGATAGAATAGAAACTTACTGATTAGATGGTCAATAATTTACACATTTCACATTGTGTAACGTATAATCTATTGATTTAAATCGCTTGAATCATGATGCATGGCGACAAGTTTCAAATACATGGGGCCTTACGAATCAATATTTGCTCGCTAATTAGATGGTTCACTCACCGTTCTCCACGTTTAACTCCGCCGCGGTTCTATACGACATAGGTCTGCCAAAGTCACTGGCGTCGCTCGGGTGCAGCAACAATTGATGGGACGCCCTGGAATGATGCCTCGAGGTGGACGCCCGATGCAAGTGAACACTATTTAGGACGGTATTGCTCGAGGCACGGCTAAGCGCCTCTTTTTGTCGAACAGCCTCCTTGTAGATCTTGCAGTACATGACAATCATCACGAGACCGGGGATCCAGAAGGAGACCGAGGAACTAATCACAGCGTACGGTGGGTTCACCTCGAACGTGCATATCTGATTCACCGACACATGTGCTCAATACTTTCTCCTTGGAACGATCGAGGAGAATATATTATTTTGTGGTACATTTCTTTTTTCTCCAGAAAGATTTTTATTTTATTTTATTTATTATTTTTAGTTGGATTTAAGAATTATAATATTTTTGGGGGGAGTAATTAATAATTAGTAATTATGAGAGAGATTCAGGCATTTTTTTTGATATTTTAAGAGTCATGTAAAATAGTAGTAAGATAATAATAGCGTTTCTTCAGGTTGCTTCAGGTCGCTTTTGTTTTCTTATATTGGAAATATTTCTTTTATTATTTTTAAAGTTTCTTCCATTTTTCGAGATAAATCTTTTCGCTTTAATATTTGTACATTGTGTTTATTTTTTTTACTGTCATAAAAGTTGTGAAAACAAATTGTGAAACTTTAATAATAATATTTCGCTAATATTTTATCATGCTAGTGTTTTTATTTCATAAATTTAAAAAATTTTAAAAATAATTTCCAACTTTACTTTCGTTAATTTATTAAATAAAATATTTCGATAAACAAGTTTAAATTGAAAATTAAAAGTTTCTTGAACTACGGTATTATTCTCTAAATTGAGATATTTCTGGTTGGAAAAGAAAATTTTTATTCCGAGTTATTTTTTAAAGTGATAAAGTCTACATATTTTATTTTAATCGAAATAATAATACAAAATGATTTATCAACGATATTTAATATTAAAAAAATTTTCTGTTAAAAAGTATTGACGTATATGCCATCTCTCTCATAATTACTCTACGTTGGAAAAGATTTTGAGATAGGTATATTTTTCCTTTGAGATCAATTGAAGATTTTTCAAACAGATAATTTTTTTTATTAAAACCTTCCTCTTCGCTTCTTCTGTTTCCGATGTTCTCTGTTATCTGTCGAGCTTTTCTCTAATTGGATTGAAAATTCTGACGTCAAATTGTAAATATTGGTTATATATAATCACATTTTTCTTAAAACTTTGATTAATTACGATTCGATCTTTAATTTAGTTTTAATTGGATTTTCATAATATTTTAATTTTGACCAAATTTTTTCACTTTACATAATGATTATAAAATTCTCAATAAATTTTATATTTTATCTTCTTCTTTCAACTTTTTGCAATGTTTTAAATTTATTTATATATTCTTTTTTTAATATCCCATGAAACAATTTTTTTTAAAATTAAATCAAGATTTTCATTTTTAATCGAAAATAATTTGAGATTAATCCTTTTCAATATTTACTCGATGTTTTTTTATTTATATTTCATCTACTAGAGTTTTCCTCTCCTAACTTGATCATTATTTCTTAGACGTTTAAAACTTTAATCCAAAGTTCTTCGAGAACTCTTGATTTTTCGATCTCATTAATTTTTTTCTTCCTACATTTTATCCCAACTTGTACAACTTTCGATCCACTTACTTAAATAAATTCAATTTAATTGTTTTATTCTTGTCATTCTATTATTTATGTATAATCTACGATATATCATAAAATATTAATATTTTATTTCGATATGTGTTTTAGAAGAAAGAAAAGAGAGAAAGAAGAGAAGAATTTTGTTTAAATTTTAACGAAACCTCTATTTTTATTTAAAAATAAAATGTAGTTATGGAAAAATATAGGAGAAAGGATCACTATAATGGCAATGGATTTTTAATCAATGGAATCTATAGAAACCATTATAATCGCATAAATTTCGAAAGCACGAAAGAATTATTGTTCGAGGACAGAGAAATATGAAAGTGGAAGTCTCGGCAGAATTTCGATTAACGGAACGTCCATTGTTCGAATCGTTCATTGTACCAGGTGTATTATCGAAACAATATATTTCGTCATGCCATATTGCTCCTTTTCTCGCCAATATTTTTCACTAGATCACGATTAATCGGCAACTTATTTAACTGTGACTTCATTTGTTGGAGAATGAATTCTATGTGCATTTAATAAATGATCTTAATTTATTGTTAATATTACTTTTATATTTACTGTTATCCAATATTGAACGAAAATAAGTGGAAATTTTAAAAATAGATGGAAATAAAATATTTAAATGAATAATGAAATGACGATAAAGAATAAGATTTCGATATTATTGATCGAGGAAGAAATTTTTATCCGTTTTAAAAATCACACAAGAAATAATTGATAAAAAGCAATTGGAAATCAAAAGAAAGGTTTAAGAAGAAATGAATACCGATAAAATTAAAAGAAACGAAAATATAAGATTAAAGGAAGTAAAAAGATTGAAAATGAGAACGAGAAAATTGGAGGTAAAATAAAAGGAATAAACGGTAAGAAAGAAATTAAAGATAAGATAGTAATGTGGATGGAAGAATCAAGATCTATTATTGCAGTGAGAAAATTGAAAATAAAAGAGTAAGAACTAATGAAAGCAGTGAAAACAAAAAAAAAAAAAAAAGAAAACAGTCAATTTAAGGATAAGAATTATAAGCTGAGAAGTTACGAATATACGAGTTAAGTTAAGAAGTAGTTAAAAATAAAGATGAAAGAAAGTATTAATAGGAATAATGTAATACTTAAATAGTTAGAAGTTAGGAGAGCTACACGCAGAAATATAATAAAGAAACTTTAAAAATAGACATTGAAAATACAAAAAAATAAATTGTATGTAAGAAATATTTAAAGAGTTATTTACTTGTTCGAAAAATTTCTAAAAATACATTTATTGCTATATACGTTTTAAATTTATAATATTCCAAATTTCTCGTTATCCTTCTCGAATATCGTAAATATCCAAATCTTTCGTAATCAGAAATCATTAAAGAAGAATCATAAAATTTTTAACGAATAAATTTTTACAATAAAATATAAAAAAATTCATATAGATTGTCTTAAATAAATTAAAATAATAAAATTTCAACGAACGATTATATTTTCAAAAAGTTTCCATGAAAACGTAACTCGCTATGTTGAATTACGTAATAACGCGTGCTCGACTTCGCGGGACACAAAATTAGGAAACGAGTGAAATTCACGTCCGACTTTATTAGCCGAGTAATAAGATTATGCTCGAAACTCGCATAAGAATTTTCACCGTCCTCGAAAAATAATAAATTTACCGTTTCTTTGGTCGTCCTTTTCATTCTTGCTGTTATAATTTTGTTAAATTATAATAATGAAAGAGACTCATGATCGTCCATTGTAACATTGTAGATTAAGAGATGCGAGATACATTCGACAAAATCAAAGTTGTACGTATACAAAGCGATCGAATATTGGATAAGAGATTATAATACAAGGAAATGTGGCTTGGAACATAATAATCGACGAGCACGTTGTTGGAAAGCTTTGTTTGAACAAGAAGCATCGTGTAATAAGATGTTCTGCCTTCTTGTCATGAATACCGAGGAAACATAGCGGTGATTCGGATAGTTTGTTGTTTGCTAAATCAGTTGTGTCTTGTTTCCGCTTTTACCGACAGAGATTGAGATTTCCATTGTTCCGAAGAATCTAAGTAATTTTAATAAATAAATTAATATGGAAATTAGTCTTAAGAACTTTCGTTTTAATCGTCAATTTAGATTACGTTTGAAAAGCATTTAAACGATTCGAACAGATAATGTTTTCTAATTTCAGAAATTTAGAAGCAATTTTATACTGGAATGGCTATTTTTTTTTATCATCTCCAATTTTTCTTCTTCGATCAAAATAGTTGTCAATGTGGAAAAACATTTATTATACGCGATGCTATAATATTTTTATAATATTCAATACGAACGGTATGTATATATTTATTCATATATTTAAAAGAATTACGAGGAAGCTTTCGAAGATAAAAACAAATTTCTATTCAGGTCTTAATTTATTACCACCTTTCTATAACGGTTGAAACGGATCGAATAATTCGAGGGACGAAAAATAAAAGTAACGAAGGTTATGGGCGATCTAGAACAGAAGGAATAAAAGTTGATAACAATGGCATTTTAGTAAGAGAAACGCAACACATGGTCGTAGAATTATCGAAGCTATTAATTCCGAGTTTCCGTTTATAGAAGAATGGGATAAGAGGCAAGACGGCAAATCATCTGTATGCAAATTTCGAAAATTTTCGTTCATCTTCCTCTCGCGCTTCCTTCGCGTTCCCTCGATCCGCGTTTGATTTTTCTCGGATAGAAATCTTGTCTTGCACGGTTCGAGTGTAAATATCCGATGAAATATTCTATTAACAGCAACGACAGTAAATTGAACGCCACTTATCGTCCGTTTCCCCATCTACGAGGTAAACGCGTTCGAATTACAAATTCGAGGGATTATTCTCGACGCAATAAACGTAATGAGATCGAATTTACTTACGTGATTGAAAAAAGAAAAATAAATCGTCGTTCACTTTTCAAACGGAATTCAAATATTCTATACATCATAATATATGTATACAAAATTAGAATACCAGAATTTACGAAGCTTATCGAATGTGTGTTTCACGATCGTTTGAAGTGTTTAACAATTTTTTTGAGAATCTTTTTATCGAGGAATGTTGAACTTTAGTAAAAAAAAAAAAAAAAAGTAATAGTTTTTTAAGTAGCGTAATTTGACCGTCTCGAAATTTTTCATTCGGATATAAATTCTTTATACTTTGAAATTTATATTTTTCAATTTGATGCAATTTTAAATCGTTTCTCTCAAATGCAACTCGTAGTCGGCGTTAAATCGAATCAACGGTTATTTTTACGTTTTAATAACCATGAACTACTTATGTAATCAGCTGTTTCTCATTAATTTGATATGCAGCGTACCGAGAAATCGTCGCAATTTACGAACGCTACGGTTCACAAAGCATCGACACCAATTAGATCTATTCATAAAAATTAAAAAAAAAAAAAAATCGTAACAAAATGCTTCATATAAATAAAAACTTTTTAAGTTACTCGAAGAAAAAATAATTAGGAAGAATATATATACAAATTGTTTGTTATATTATATAATGTTCTTTTCGTTTCTTATTCTTATTTCTACTTAAATAGTATAATTTTTTTTATCATAATTGTCAAAAAGATTTGTGACAAATCGTTAAAATGACGGTGAGGAAAGTATGAAAATGGAATTATAAGAAAAAAATTTGTTCAAATTGGGATTTTCAATCAGTGGTTGAAATTTAGAATCGTCATGCTCTAGAAAACTTCGCTTTAATATTCAGTGGAAAAGCATCCTCGTAGGGAAACTCCCAGTAGTACGTTATCTCGAGCGAATTGTGGCTTTCCATCTTGGGAATATCTCCACGTAAATGCGCTTCCTCTCAGAAGAAACGGCGGAAAGGAAGATGAACAAGAGGAAATAAGTACGATCGTCTAGCATCAAACTAACAAAGCGATAAATCAAATAAAAGAATTCATCGTAAAAATTAATAATCTTGGAGAAAAGATTCTTTTCTTCTTTTTCATCGTTCATTTTCAATATAATCCTCCATTCTATCCAACCAATACCGTATTTCACTTTTCAAAGAGGAAATCTTTCCGAATTCAATCACCATCGGAATTTCAAAAAAAAAAAAAAAAAAAAAAAAAGAAAAAGAACCTCGAGAAAAATCTTCTTCGATCTTCTTTCTCTCCAATTGAAATTGGCACGAACGATGCCACAACTTTCGCAACAAGCAATCCCAAATAAAAATACTTTAACGAGAATTTATTAAACGTACGTAGCCACAAAATAAATGACAAGAGAAGTCGTTCTCCCCGAACAACAATACTCTCTTAAATCGTTCCAACCTCTCTACCTGAGAATCATTGTCCAACTGTTCCAGATGCTCGTCCGTGGCGTACCACCCCATGAAAATGGGAATGAAACTGATGAAAGCTGGGAGCAGCCACGCGCTGGCCAGCATACAGGTGACAGTGAGCCTCTTCATGATCGCTGGATACTCCAACGGCCTGACAATCGCGTAATATCTGTCCACGCTGATGCAGCACAGATGCAGGATCGAGGCTGTGGAGAAATACACGTCCAACGAGCACCACACGTCGCACATGATCCTGCCGAACATCCATCGACCGCTCAGCTCGACGGACGCGTTGAAGGACATGGCGCAGACCGCGACGAGGAAATCGGCGGCCGCCAGGCTGACCACGTAACGATTGGTCGGCACGCGTAGCTTCCGGTGCCTTCTCACGCTCGCGATCACCAAAGCGTTCCCTATAAGCGCGGTAACGATGATACCGATGATCACCACGCCCTTGATACCCGTCCAAACGACGTTGATCGGTTGATAAATGTCCCCAGAAACGGAAAACGCGTCGTGGGCGCTCGAGTTGAGCGACTGCGAGAGGCGGTCGATGCCGGAAGTCGTCGTGGTGAGCCTGCCTATCGATCGGTCCACGTCCTCGTCCGATGGCTCACTGACTTCCATTCCAACACGAACCGCCTGTGACCATGTTACGCGCGCCGGCAAATGGCTCAGGGTGAAGTCTGTTCGAGGTAGTCGGACGCGAACACGGTGTTGGAATTCTCGGGGGTGGAGGACGGGCGTCGGAGAAGAGATGGATTCACTCGCGTATCCACGTGCATTGTGCTCGTCCAAAGTCCAAAGGGTTTAGCCCGGACTTATGGAGATTTCGCGTCCCGTGATCGGCAAATTTTCGAGGAATTCGATCGACCTCGTCGAGAGATTTTTCCTTATCTGGCGGATTTCGAGATTAAAATTGTTGAAAAGATTCTTGCGAAAATTGAGCGTGAAATGCATGCGAAAATGAAATCGTGTCTAGATGGAATTAATAAATGGATGTTATCGGGTTTCGTAAGTTTTTTCTCGTAGTTTCTCGAACGAATAATTGTACAACAAATTGTTCGGATTGGCTGTCAAATCGAAAACCGATCGATTCGTTCGAAAATCGTGCAAAACGTTATCAAAAATGTCGCTTGTACGATTTTAAAAAAAAATCTTCAAATATTCTTCGACCTGAAATTTTTATGCTTTGTTCCCTACGAACGTTCGTTAATTTTTTCTTTCTTTTTTTTTTTTTTTCAAGAGAATTCTACGCAAGAAAAAGGAAGGAAAGAAATGGCTGGAGGCTGTACAATAGACGAATGCGCGTGAGTAAACTTGCCTCGTAAACGTTCCTCCTGTTCAGAGCGACGGGATATAGTTTAACGTTAAAACAAACAGCTGGAGCATCGGGTGAGACAAGTTGTGTGCATATTTAGCTTGCTCGAAAAACGTCTTGCTTTCAGGTATTCCAAGTAAAATGCAAACAGCCAATGACCCGATCTCGCTGTTAGATGTTACGTACTCGTTTCAAGAACTAGAATTATGCTGCAGACGGAGAATTCGTTTCTTTTTTGTGCACATTTGATGCATCGTGTTTAACCTTTGCGAGGAATCGACGCGAAATTAATTTATTCGCTTTTTTTGAAATTTATACGAGTATATTTTTACACAATTAGAACTTTAGATTCTATATGTACTGTAAAAATTATTACCAAAGATACACGTTTGTACTGGTTGGTAAATGGTTTTCATTTACTAAATAACAAGAATTTTCAAGAATTTTATAGTCAACAGATTCTTTATTTACGTATCGTATAGACAAATAAAATTATAGATAAAATTCGCGAAAATATAAATTGATTTAAACGGTTAAATTTCAGTTTTGCTTGGATATACTTTATCAGAAGTGGAGGAGACGAGTCGTGGACAGACAATAACCTAACGCAATAATTGGAACACAGCGCCACCTGTAGTTGCTCAATTACAAACCATACTCCGTTCAAAGTAACTTGTGCTCCTGTCCCAAAATGAATTCCCTCAAGTTCAGCTTATCGCTTACCCCGTTTACCGTAAGTCTAACCGCAAATATTCTATCCCCGAACAATCTAATTTCTCGTCATCCGACGTGTCTGGCACAGTTCATCCGGAACACTGCCACCTCAAACCACCTGCCACGCTATGGAAAAGACAGTTTTCACCTCGCGAAATCCTCCACCACTACCTACATCCAACGACTATAGCGAATAACTTGATAATCCCAGATCCCCAGGTGTCAAACGCAAAATCGGTCTTAGGAAACTTGTCACCTGGAAACGAATGTACCTGTTTATCGTTACGTAACATCGATAAAGTTAAGTTAATTAACCGATCCTCCATTTCTTTATAAGATATTTGCAGTTTTTTACTCGAATATAAAAGAATCAACGATCAATTATAGCGCGCCGCGCTAATCGAGTGTCCATAACTCGATTAATAATAACGCGATAATATCGAGCAAAGATCCAAGGTCTAGATCGCGACACTGTACGAGAGACGCGTGAGAAAGGGACGTTGGAGATGCGAAGCCTCAATGGGCGTAATTAATGGCACCCGAAATGCCGTAGTTCCGGCGGAAACGTGAATAGGCACATGGTCGACGTGGATATCTGGGACTGGCTCGATTTCCTGCGTGTGATGCGTTTGATAGAAACTTGTCGACAATGAACAATGATTGGTGTTTTTTATCTTTCTCTGAAAAACGTTTACCTTGGAAACTGTGAAATCGAATAAATTAAAAGTGTCGTGATTCGACGCGTATAACAGACATGTTATTATATTTGAGGTGAGTACTCTAATTTTATCGATGATGCATATAGAAGATTTTTCTTTTTTAATATCGGTATAATTGCAATAGGATAGTAACGATATTGTTGAAATAAGAAATGATTGTGATATCGATTTGAGCAAGTTATTTGGATACGTTGGAATATCTTAATTATTATTACGAAGAATATTTACTTAGACTGATTAATTGTACAACGTATTACAACAGCGGAAAGAGACAAAGGAAAAGTATACATATTCACAGAAATATATATTTATTAAATATCGATAAAAATTTATTTAACAATAAATAAGGTATAGGTTATTATTATATCATTAATATTACTAATATAATCGAGGAACGCGTGGAATTTATTAAATACGTATGAATTTACAAAATGAATTTTGTACAAAATTTTCCTTCTTCTATCCGCATAGTTAGCTTTTAATTCTATTAAGCTTCTATTAATCTTCTCTAATTTTAACTCTTTCTTGGAAAGGGGTCAGAGTTCTCGTTAAGACTGCTACTTTAAACATGCTAATTGGAATTATTATTACATTAACAGACGCAGTGATTATCTCGCTGATTGTGAACGCGATAAGTATAAATTTCGTTTATTATTGGTTGCAAGTTTTATTCGTTGCATCTCTTGAATTGCAATAATTACTGTACAAAGGGAACTAAACGAATTTCACTGATTTTGTTGGATACATTTTGCATTCTGATCTACGTTTTTATATTTGTATATTACATAAACAATTATTTTTTCATTAAGATTTCTTGTTTGCTTTAAATATACCTTTTTGAAGGTAATAATTAGTAATCAACGCTTTCGCTGAGTTAATGATAGGTATCCAATGATGATAAATTAAAGCGGTAATTACCAATATTTACCAGCTAATTCAATAACTATGTGTAATTTATATGGTTATAATTCAAAAACCAAATTGACATTTGAATTATTATTCACATTGTTGAATTATAAGTTAAAAAAAAAAAAAAAAAAAAAAGAAGAAGAAGAAAAGGAAAACTTTGTATTAATTGTAACTTTCTATTATTAGATAAAAGACTAATAAGTAAATATCAGATTTTTCCATAAGAGATTATTTCTGTTATTCTTGTTAAGACTATTTATAATACTTATATACTGTGAACGTATATACGTGTTAATATATTCGCGACACATCTTTGGAAGGTCGATTCTCCAAGACACAAACATGTCTTCAAAGCAAACACAAATGTATTAATATATTAACACTCTGTACATACGTATACAATGTATAATTTAAAAAAAATTTATGTGTTTGGTTAAATCTTTTCACTTAAAAAAAAAACAGAATCTCTATAAAGCAACAAAATCTTTCGACACGCGATCCAAGATTTATAATTAAAAGTAACTGGGATAGAGGTAATTAAATTAGATAATTTTTAATTCGAATAAAAAAATAAAACGGCTAAAAGCTTCGTTAGCTTTCAATCACGAGTTGTGCAACGTTTTTGATCACATCTACATCTTCTTTTCAAACGTAAGCCTTTTTTTTTTTTTTATCTTGCTCATTACGAAATAAAGAAACGGAGCACTCCGAATCTACTTATTATATCTACTCGTTATATCAATGTCTCGTCAAGCAACTAGTCGTTAGATCGAGACGCTTCATTAACGATTTTTTTCAGTAAAACTACCTCATATTGTATTCGTGATCACGGCTACAATTTAAAAGCTTCCAATTGTCATTGTTAAGCTATTCTAATCTCAGCTCGTTAATTAAAAAAAAAGATAGATTGTTTTCCTTTAAAGTATCGGTTAAATTACGATGGAGTAAAAATTATTCATCACCGTGATGCATCGATTTACGACTTTGCGTTAGTCGCTCTTAAGCTCTTGTCGACCGAATTATAAATGAGATCATCAACCTATCGAGTTCAGGAATTACAAGTAATTTTTCTTTCTTGGACGGATGTTAAATGTTATTTTTCATTGTCTGCAAATATTTATCGTCTTCGCATCTTGACATTTTGGAATTGTCAATAAGATTCTTAAAAAATAATACCTCTCCCTCAATTGTTTAATTAGAATTAGGATTATGATTCAACGTAATAATCTGAAATAATAAACGAAATAAAGAGTACTGGGACGTTATAGTTGACGAAACATAAGAACAAATCAAAGCGAATATAATGCAAAAACAAAAAGAAGAATCGAAGTAGAAAGTAATAACAGACGATTGAGAGGAATTCATTTTGAAAAAGAAAAAGGATAAAAATGAAATAGAAATATCAGAGAAACGTGAATTACGTAGAACGAGATACACCAAAATATCCATGTGTCGCGGAATAAAAATAGAAAACGGAAACGAAATAAAAGATAGATAATGGAATAAGTAAAAAAAAAGCAAAGCAACAATTGAAATACATTTGAGCTTAAAATAAAAGTACACGATAAATGGAATTGAAAATGAAAGGAAGAATTATCGTATGTAATTTAAATAAGAAAAAAATAAATAAATAAATAAAAAAGAGTAAGCAAAATTAATTTTCTACATTCGACATAGAATTTCTCGTTTCAGTTGATGCTAATTCGGTGGAAATTAAGCAAATTCGAAAACAAAAATGGCCTCGATATTGAAAGAAATTCTTTGATCCTCGTGGAAGATCGTTTAAACTTGGACAAGACTTGAACGATCCTTGTAAATTTCAGTTATTGTTGATGAGCATGACGCTCGAAAGCGCTTCGAAATATTGGAATACTGGTTCACATCGACTCTCGAAATCATTAGCAGTTCGTTCGATATCTCTCTCGAAAACCGCGTCTACGATATCAAGTGCTGTTAACGAAGACAATAGGATCATGAAATAAGTAGCGGAGAAAAAGAAAAAAAAAAAAAAATTAATCAATTGTTGGTTCATTCGACGATGAAATTTATTTTCCAATTAAAAAGTGATTTTTAAATTCTTCAAAATCTCAAAGGCATCTTCAATTATTCGTACAAATTATTCATCATGGATCAACAAAGATTTTTAATCGGAAAAATCCTGAACCTCTGAACATCAAAATTCGGTGCGAATCGAAAGACAGGAATATTTATTATACGTATCGATTCTGTTAGTC